CCCATCGAGATTTAATATTTTTGTATCTTGGCTCTCGTGTTCATGAAAATTATATAAGTTACATTTAATTAACATTATCTGTACCTGCTACAACCCACTGTTCAGTATCCGAATATCCAATGCCTGCACGCTTTGTTGTGTGTCAACTCACGATACGGTGTCTCCTAATTAAGGCCCGCAGAAGCGAGCTACAATAAATCCTGTCCGCCACTGAGCACTGACGACTGCAACTAATCTTGCATCTACCCATAGCTGTCCCTCCACGTGGCTTGATTTAAGACTATAATTCGGCGTAGAATCCAACATGTCGCTGATGTCAAAACCTCGTTGCACGCTCCGGAATAGAACAGCATTCAGTGTCCTTGGTAACCTATCACCCATTTTATTACTTACGAGCATATATTACTTATGAAACATTCTCATCGCCCTGATGATGGAGGCATAAAACACTTCCGAAACGTCGGTAAACTTCTACCAGACTATACGGCGCTACAACCCAGAAGATTCTACATTCTACATCTCCTTATGAAGAGCTGTCAATTTTATGTCAAAGTATTTTATCACCTGTATTATAAAGGTTAAGTTATTGAAGTGCAATATTTTGTTATTTTTTCATCATATAAGAAAACTAAATTATTGAAATATCGATATATGGCGTGATGTTTCAAGGTTGAGTGCTGGGTGATTTCATGTGTCGATATTAAATCGTAAGTGTGTGTAGGGGTGCATATACTTGACCCCAGAGGTTTAACGACCCCACTCACTTAACCATTATCAGTTCAAATCTCCGTTATTATCACATGAAATTCTTAATAGCTGAAACCACTTATAAACTTATTGCTTTCCGGGCGTCACTTTACTACGATCCATACTGAAAGTTTATACACCCACAAAACCTTTCTTGGTCTACGTTTCTGTCATTGGTTGGGAGTTTAAAGCTGCCAGCTAATTTAAGGAGACAGCGCCTAAGTTCCGGCAGTTAGATGCTGATTTCTTATCCAGCAGACACGGTTTGAAACCCGGATACTTAAAGCCCCACGCGATATGCGATGGCCCTGACCAAGTATCACATTATCATAACCTCGGTATTAAATTAGGCGCTTCAACTTTGATCCGTCACCCGGATGGTCTCGAAATAAAGACAATTTTAGTCTGAGTTCATGCGAAGGACATATCAAGTTTTAAAAATCGTCGATTTAACGTAATATTCTTGAAGCCTAAACAAAATGTCATGTGTGTGGTCTATTTTATGCTCCTGTATGATGGTTCAGGTCGCAGTAAGAATATACAGGTAGAAGTCTTGTGAGATTATACTTATAATGTACAATAAACATAAGATTTCTGGTTCCTCTAATTCACATAATTAATAAAGCATGAAACAATGTACTAATTGTGCCATGACTACTCAGTACCAAGTCTCATACCTTCCTAAAGACATAAGACAAAAATGAAGACAATTTGTTCATTGTGCCATGACTACTCAGTACCAAGTTTCAGACTTTCCTCCAGACATAAGACGAAAATGAAGACAATTTGTTACTCCTTTGATGATAAATGGAAATCATTATCTACAGGTGTGTGAAATCGTAAAGGAATTGAAGACGATATCAGACGAACGTTGGATTCACGTTTCATTTATTTTAATGACAAAACGTTTTTGACTGTACCTTTCCGATAGGAGAGACGTATCTTGGGATAAATATCATCGATGGAACAATTCGTTCAAAAAATGTCAACGTTCCTGTTAAAACTGACTAAGCCACTTTGAGGTTTCAGTCTGGAGGTCCTGTACATTGACAAATATTTTCATCTTCAAAGACCATTAAGAACTTACACCGAGAGGGCGAGATGTTTAAAACCTGGTATGACGCAAATTAATAAAATTTAAGCCCCGGATACTTTTCCGACAAGCACTTCATTACTCAAAAATCACAAAAGTATTTTTTTTGCGTCTGAAGTCAGTGTAACATTACCTGATATCAAACTGGACAATTTTCGGGTACAAATCCAATCTCTTGGCAGACATACACGAGGGGGGTGGGGGGGGGGGGGGGGGTTGAGCGTGGGAGGACCAAAAGGTTAAAGTTCACAGCCGGGAAATGTTTGTTGCATCCCAGCTTTGTCGTCGAACAAGAAGTTTTAACACAAGGATTGCAAAACATAAGACACAGCAAGAGACATTTGTGTGCTCAAAGCTTTCAGCTAGGCGACGTCTACGTACGAAAACAGGAACAAAGCCGGAGGAAAAAAGGTAGAAGCTTATTCACGAATACTTCTTTCTCTCATTTCTTCAACACGAACGCCACAGATCTGAGGATAAAATCATCATTTTCCTCTAAGAAGCCATTTCGCTTATAAAAACCTATAAGAACAATTCCAGACAGATTCCGACGCAATTATAGAATGGCCGACAAAAATCTGACGTCTTAAAACGCATTTAAATTTCTAAATACAAGTTAACACTGCGAGATTTCTGGTTCTCACTTTGGCGAGTATAAAGATGGCTGTCTTCTGGTTAGTTGCGCCGTGTACTGTGGTAGAAGTTGACCGACGTTTCAGAGGCGTTTGCTGCGTCCGATCGGTAAACTTGTAGCAGGCTACACGGTGTAATAATCCTAAAGACAACCATATTCAGAACATACATCCCTTACTTTTGTAAATATATAACATATTTGCACAAAGCAAGGCAAATGTAGTTTAGGCTCGTAATTTTAAACTTTCACAGACGCGATAATTATCTTACCCGACTCCAAACTAATTACTGTTTTAACTGTCTGATTACGTTACATCCCCCAAGGCAGTCACCCTTACCACGATAAATGGATGACCCCAAACACGCAACAGTAAAAAAAAAAACATCTTATACGGGATCTCTGTACCATAATAGACGCCATATTAAGACTACTTTAAACTTAACACGCAAAGTTTAAGATCGAGAATGCGATATAACACAGATTGTCCTTCCACACCAAGAACTTATCGTTGTACAGCTTGGAGCATAAAAAATATGCTGTAGAATCATGAAAACATTAAAGGGAGGATCATATCATAGCGAGAGGGTAGTTATGACGTGTTAATGACTGTCAAATCATAACATGAGGTCAGTGCTTCTTCTCTGAGCAATTACCCTGACTGTGTAATTAACTTCATGGAACAGAGTCCTTACTTAAACGCCGATAGTCGCTCAGCTTGCCAATAAATTCTCAGTCGTTAATGGAACCCAAAAAAATTAATTAAACCATGCGATTATGAAGCGTCACATTTCTAAGAATTCTTCCCTAAACGATTTGGTTCTGAAAACAGCTTTTTCAGGAACTTCTCGTCAAAATTGTGTGGGTACTTTTTTTTTTAAATTTCTGACGTCATTACTACAAGCACTACAATCCCGGGGCTACACGACCAACGCACTTGTAACTGGCAGAGAAAATCACAAACAAGTGTTTCGTCCTGATTGTCTGTCTATGTCTGCCTGTCGACGTCGACATGAAAAGACCGGAAGCTCACTTCAAGCATTTGGGCAAACATATGAAGGCGTGGAGGCGTTTTCCTTACAAAACCCTCAGAGCCTCCGGATCGAAGCGTAAGGACAGACATGAATATTTATCTCCTGTATTGAGAAATGCGTCTCATTCAATAAGGGCCAAGTCTCATATAAACATAACTTTTAAAAATTCCCTTGGAACTCACGAGAGTTCCAGTGACCAGTGTATCTAATGCTAATTGCTCCCAGATTTTACAGTCTTCCTCTAACGATGTCTTTAGGGGTTTATTTTGCGTTACAGGCTACATACGTTCTGAACGCGTCAAATTTTAATATTATTCATTACATTAACATTATGAAGGTGGCAGAGATTTTTTTAATTTTTATTGCATAAAAAGGTAACAGGCGATGAACAAAATTGAATGTTGCAGATCATCAAATATTATTACGGTGACTAAATCAAAGATAATGAAGTGGTTGGGCCATACGACATAAGAAATTCTTACAAAATATTGACCGACGTTGAAGGAACTGACAGCTTGGAGGCGCTGGTGTAGATGGGAAGATAATATTAAGTCGGATGTTAAAGACGAGACGTGTGATGGTGCTGATTGGATTCAGCTGTGGCGGGCTCTTAATCTCTGGGTTCTGTTAAAGTATTGGGAATTTCTTGACCAGTTGAACAACAATCAGCTGCTCCATTTATCGCAGAAAATTCTTCACGTAACATAGTTGCCTCTGTCTCTCTAAAATCGTGAGATACTCGATTTGTTTTTTTGTTGGTGAAATGTTGAAGCATCACTGAGTAACCGAACTTGCGGCTTTCGGATTCAGAACGGTCTGGAATTCAGTACATAACAACGTTTTTTTTATATATTGTTTAAATCTTGTCCGTCTAATCACAATAAATTCTTATTAAATATTAAAATATTACATTAATTAACATTTAAAATATTTAAAATATTAAATGATGTTCTTTATCGAAATATTCCATTTACATTAGATCATTATTTTTCACGACATTATTGATTTATATAATTATATACACCTTAAGGTAGTTCTTTTAGGAACTGAAACATGTGAAAAAATGATGGTCTAATGTAAATCGAATATTTCGATAAAGAACATCATTTAATATTTTAAATGTTAATTAATGTAATATTTTAATATTTAATAAGAATTTATTGTGATTAGACGGACAAGATTTAAACAATATATATTTATTATATCACAATATGACGCAACTTTACCATCTCATAACGTTTTTTTTATCAAAAACAATAATCAATTTCCAAAAAAGTTTTTTCTTTTGATCTCTGATACAGAATTTCTCGATTCGCATACAAGGAATTTGAAAACCTGGAAACCGGAAATTGTTAAGATACGCAGTTACGTAAATCCTTACGCGGAAAAAGTAGAAAATCGCTCAGATAAAAAGGAACTGAATTTGCATGCGTCGTCTGTGAAGAAATGGAGGACGTTGTGCTTTATGAAAATATAAGCTTGTACTTACAAGATTAGCAGGTTCCTGAGGTCAGGGATCGCGTTGACGGGAATTGACGTTAGCATGTTGTTCCCCAAGTTTCTGCAGAAAGAAAGAAGCAGAGATGTCAATCAGGCACTTCTGCGTCTAGTGGGGAGGAGTGCGTGAGTGCGTGCAGGGATCTGCTTCGTTCCTATTCTAACAGGAGGAGAATCACGAAGCATAAACAACAGTCAGGAGACGACTGTTTTCCGGGATGCTTCGCCGTGTAGTCACCCTGATGATGGAGGCAGTAAGGACCTCTGAAACGGACTAGACGTCGCAGTACCTCAGAAGACAGTCGTCATATTCGCACTAAATATTAATTTTTGTGTCACTTGAAAAATTCTAAAGGGGAAGTATTAAAAAAATTCGTAATTCGACCTAATTTTCCTCAACCTAACGTAACCTAACCCAACTTAACCCAACCTAACGTAACCTAACCCAACGTAACCTAACCTAACTCAACTTAACCGAACCTAACGTAACCTAACTCAACGTAACCTAACTCAACGTAACCTAACCTAACCTAACGTAACCTAACCTACCTAACCCACTTAACCCAACCTAACGTAACCTAACCCAACGTAACCTAACCTAACCCAACTTAACCCAACCTAACGTAACCTAACCCAACGTAACCTAACCTAACCCAACTTAAATCCTTGTAAATTAAATTAAATAAACATGAGTCTTTCACTTACAGTATTTCCAACATTTTGAGGGGCGTCAATGCTTCAGTAGGAACTGCTGTCAACTTGTTGCTGTCCAACCGTACACTTCGCAGCATAGGAAGGCCCTTAAAACTGGAAGGGTCAACTGTCTGTATGGAGTTCTGGTCCAGGTTCCTGTAACAAACGGAAACGAGACAAAGGCCCGGTGATAAATCCGCTAACAAACTGAATAAAAATCTGAAGGGACTTTTTTTATAGCCACAACGGAATGAAATGTCCCAAGACTAGTTCCCGATGTTCTGGGCTCGATTTCCGCTTTAGATACGAACATTTTGTGCGGTGTTGATGGTAACAGACAATGCAATCGCTGGAGTTTAAAATCGTGTGATCCTTGGCCCCTTTGAATTCAATTTCCATTCGCTGATACAGTCCGGATCATTCTGTCCCCTTCCCCACTTCTTATTCTGGACTCCTAAATGTCTCGGGGCCCGACTATCGACGTAAGTAACACAGAAGAGGATAATATTTGCGTACAGGACCACTTTTGGGCCAAAATACAATCCACAAACACAAGACTCTAGCGCCATCTCCTCTCTCAAAAGGTACACTGACAGCGCATTCCGTTTTGGGATAACCATTTTCATATCAATGCTTATTCCCATGAAAATTAATTATCGAAATGAATAATATGTCGATATCGACAAGATGATATCACGAACCTAACCTTGCATAAATCTTTAAATAGATGGCTGCAAGGCCTTTTATTGTTTTTTCTGGGCATTGCACTATGTACAGGAACTAACTCCATGATGCAGAGCAATTCTTGACAATCTGACAGTCGCTCACCTAGCCAAGAAATATTATACCGCTTATGGAAACCGAACGTTCAATAAGATCCGCAAATACTATTAATTAAAACTACATTTTAATATTATCCTTCTACATACGCCTACGTATCCAAGAAGTCTCTTCCCTTTACCTAAAAATAAAGTTTCGTCTACATTCATCATCTTCCCCCCCCCCCCCCCCCCCCCATGCACAATATATGCCTCGCCAATCTCACTTCCTTTAACTGATTACATTATATTACGTAGGAAACAGTACAAGATATGAAGACCAAATCATGTATCAATCATTTCTTTATGGGGTTCCTATAATATTTCAAAATCGTGTTTAATAAATTTCAAAAATACAAGCACGAAGAAAATGTCGCCATTTCAGAAAAGTAATATGCCAAAGTCCTCGGAGGGACTGGATACTAACTTCGAAAATAATAATAATAATAATAATAACTGTATATTTTATAATTCATAATTCAAGCCTGCCTCGAAAAAGTAGTAAACGATATTCAAACTGTGAGGTCCGCTGGCATTTGTAACTCCTACATATCAATAAAATAAAATAAAATAAAAATTACATGCAGAAATGGTTTTAGAAGCCACGTAAAACCTATTTGAATGAGCTCTGCGGAATATTATTGACGGGACTGTGGAAGTCAGAAACTTCGTGCTATGTTATCTGACTCACGGTTATCACTTTAACCCACTTCGAAACTACGTAAAAGTTTTGCAACGAAAACTCTGACGTCACAGCAAACTACAACTAAGTTTTCCAACTTTCAAATAACGGCACGTATATGAGGCCTGTGAACTGTATGGACGACGTATCAGTCGGAAATAACAGGATAAGACCGGCCACATTTGTCAATATTAAATTACATATTCCATGGAAACAACATTACAAACTTAAACTTCTATTTTGCTTGAAATCACCAATGAATTTTATTTACATAAGGCGTTAACCCCTTGAAGCCGAAACTCGTCTAAATAATATTTAAGAATTCAGTCCGTACCGCGAAGAAAACACGACACTTCACCATTACACGTATCAACCAATCAGTTAATCACTGTTTACTCTGTGAATTTTATACAAAAAAACAAATACACTCTATGATAGAAACGTAATAGAATTACTGACTGTTACAGCAGGTGGTACATTTAGACACCACTAGGCTTTGAAATGTTAAAAAAAAATCATCAACGCGAGGGATTAAGCTCTTGACGTGTTCCACTTTCAAAGATCAAAAACTGTTCCATCCATCTTCCTATTGGACATACCTGGCAACTTATGTCTCCCTTTTATATAAATACAGCAGATTTATGTTTCAGTTTTCAGACATTCTGTCCTTAAATATATAATTTCTCTTAATAGTCCATTACATACCAAAGAGATCTATATTTCTTCCAATTTCATATCTGTCTGCATTACGATATCATCAGTTATTTATTCTGTATTATTCCTTCTTACTTCTCGCAATGTTTGCATCTGACCAATAACGCCATATGAACTTGTAGATAGATACCAACGTTTCGGATGAACATACTGCTTCTATCTTCAGGGCTGGGAAATTAAACGTTGGGAAAGCGGTAGTGAAGAAGACACAGGTACTATAAGCAACATGTAGTGAACGGACCTAGACGTATATGGGGCAGATAATATTAAAACGGATCTTAGGAAAATGGAATTGGAACTTATGGAACAGTTAAATTTTGCTCAGAATACGGACTGGTTGCTGCATGGTACTGAATCCACTGTTTCAATAAAAGGTGGAGAATTTCTTCAATATTTTTTCAACTGCATTGCTCCATGGAGATAATTTATCTTTGGAAAAGGAATTGGGCTGTTCCCTTGAGTAAAACCAACATTCAGCAAACAATGAAGTTAGTAGCAAGGTATCAGTTCATAACCAAACACAGTATATTCAGAAAGGACACTAGAAAGTCCTATCACGTCGGAGATGAAGGTAGCAGGGACCAAATACTTACAGGGACGTGAGACGTGGTAAGAGGTGCAGGGTGTGGACCGGTACAGCGGTCAATCCGCAGTTCTGCAACGACCTGAGGACCAAGAGAGTCACTAGCAAATTAAGTACATCAAACTTGCCGTCTTCCGCACAAACGAAATAAATATATTACATTATATTGTGGCGCCATGTTGTGAAATACAAGAAACAATTATTGTGTATCGTTTGCCTGCCTTTGTACAACTAGATTCACACATTCGATTCCACACTCGAAGTGGTCTAGCGGTTAGAACGCTGGCCTTGTAATCCTGGGGGTCTCGGGTTCGATTCCCGGCGGTGCCCGAATTTATAACTTGTGTTGGGCAAGGCCGTGGTCTAGGCAACACGGAGTTTTCCTCCGTGGCATCCCAACAATTACTCCATTCACACACAGAAGAAGGCAATGGCAAACCACTTCTGGATCATCTGCCAAGAACGTATATGAACAGGTCCCAGTCCGAGAAAAGGATGGAAGGATCCTGTTCATATGGACCTGTCGTCAGACAGAACACTAAATAAATAAATAAATACCATGCTGTGCAAAGACGGACAAATAATGTATGAAATAAATGTAGTCATCTGCCTACAGACAGTAGCTCCAGAAGAATAAAAAGAACATTTTTCGTGAAGGCAAAGAACGCTAGGTGACCGTCTTCCGGAATGTTGCACCGCGTAGTCTGGTAGAATTTTCCTACGTTTCATAGGTGCTTACTGCCTCCATCTTCAGGAGAGACTTCATAGTGCAACATTCCATAAGACAGTCGGAACGTTATAATCTTAAATGTCAGCAAAGTAACAACTGCTTCCACATTCTACAAAGTAAACGTATTTATAAACACCTCACTTCCAGAAAGGAAAGGAAATTTATTTGTGTGTTACAGCGTTTATCTCATTACAAATTAATTTAACTTACGTCACAACGAGAACTTAAATTATTCAGTGAATCTCGTCACCGACGAAATATTCGTGTGGACCGGAGTTAGCTCAAATTAATTCTATTCAGCTCGCGTCGTGCGTTAGAACGCCATTCTGTGTTGCACTGGTTAAAACCCAAATCGGGTAGAAGGATTAAACCGGGATGACGTCGTCTTTGCCAAAATAATTACTATCGACTGTGATTTCTGAAGCGGAGACCGAGAGAAATATATTTCGCTCCTGTCGAGAATCGAACCTCGGTTTGTAGGATTTGAGGTTTTCCCGGCGATGAGTCTGAAGATTGCGCTGTGTAGCCTGGTAGAAGTTTACCGATGCTGCGTTATGATGTAGGCAGCAAGGTCCTCTGAAACGTCGGTATACTTCTACTAGACTACACGGGACAACAACCCAGAAGATAGCAATCTTCGAACCCAGGTCGTCTAACCACAAGTCTGAGCTTATAAAAACAAGTTAATTCACTACGTTAACTTATAAGAAGACAAAATTCTAATCCCGCTTTGGGTATATTGTTTTATGTTGGTAGAGGCCTTTATTTGGGCCGATCCCCAAACCAAGGGGTCTTACCGATCGTTTAAAATATACGACCCTTTAGAACAATGCGGAATTGGAAAGGACAGGCTGCCCAAGAGTGCCAACTTAAGAATAAGAAATAAATGGGTTTGTTCATAAAAGGACGTCTCCCCGTCCAGCCAAGAAGATTCATTGCCACCGGTGCCAAGCATCGACCTGGACGCCAGAGAATGTGAGCGCGTGCTCTGAGGCGTCTGTCTGATTTCCTGAACGTAAACATTTTGTAAGGCGGGATTGCTCGCAAACCGTATGGAATTTTTTGCGCTGATCTGCGTGTTCCTACAGAACTTTATACGCCAAATGAATCTATACAATTTTTTCAAAATAAATACCAAATTATCACGATTTACATACATAATTCGTCATCGGTTTAGTATGTTTTCTGAAACGAAACGTACTACCAATCCAAAAAACATGAGTATAATAATACTCTGGAGAGTAAATCGTGTTATTTATTTATTTATTTAGTGTTCTGTCTGACGACAGGTCCATATGAACAGGATCCTTCCATCCTTTTCTCGGACTGGGACCTGTTCATATACGTTCTTGGCAGATGATCCAGAAGTGGTTTGCCATTGCCTTCTTCTGTGTGTGAATGGAGTAATTGTTGGGATGCCACGGAGGAAAACTCCGTGTTGCCTAGACCACGGCCTTGCCCAACACAAGTTATAAATTCGGGCACCGCCGGGAATCGAACCCGAGACCCCAGGACTACAAGGCCTGCGTTCTAACAGCTAGACGTCACTAGAGGAAGTTATATTTGGTTTGTGGACCGCAAGGAGACCCCAGGTTTAGGCGGACAGTCATCTGTACAAAGAACTAGACTCTATAAATGACTGAATGACCACCAAATTAACCCTTAAACTTCCACAAGCCGCCACCCCCTTTTCAGCCTTCACCCATTGGATCCTATCGTCTGTTACGATTCAAAATAAATTCCAAAACAGTAAACTCTTTAGGCACTTGGAATGTTGAAGACGCAAACAAGAAATCCCCGTCGAATTTCAACGGGATCTCCCCACTGTTACGGACAGAATGACCAGCAGTCTCTCTCGTATTAGTGAGACAAGACTGACACGTCTGATCTCCATTGTAAAGCAAGGAAGGGCCTTTGAAGTTACTGATTGCATATTAAAGACAAGGGTCACCCATGACGTACACTTTTTCTCTATTACAATGATTTAACATTGTAGACAGATATGTAAAATAAGTATTCTTTCATATCCTTTATTAATTAATCATCCTGAAATAAAACGATATATAGTCGGAGCTACTGAAAGCGGGGATAAATAAACAACAAATAAGAACAGATAGAAGCTTTTAAAATGCACGTAGAATCACAAGGAAAACTTCTGAAAACGTTCGTATTTGAAAGTGCTGTATAAATTTCCAAATTTATGCCTCATAATAATACTTACAGCCTTTTCAGATGCTTGTTGTTGGCGAAAACGTCTGGATGGATGCGCTCCAGGGCGTTATCAGAGAGAATTCTGAAACAAAGAAATCCATAAATCATCATCATACCTAATTTTTCGGTTCACACGAGATTTAAGGTAGAATAATTTGCAGGGAGCAGATGAGACACCGTAGGAATTTCTTCTACAAGAAGCCGAAAGTGATCTAAATAAATTATAATAATTCAGTCCGTACCGCAAAGAAAACACCACACTTCACCATTACAGAAATCAACTGGTTAACGCTGTTTAATGAAATAATCGCGATTTACAGTAAAAATCATGCCCATAAATTCATCCTGTGTATAAATTCAGACTTAGTGATTATTAAATCATGTGGTATATATAATTACCACTGAGCTTTAAAAGGTTAGCGCAATGTATAAGTCATCCATTTGACGAGTCTACAAATAAATAATTATAAATCTGGTGTAAGGGTGTTTGTCCGAGAACCTCACTTGGGCATGCGCTAAATATTGAAACATTTTTCATAAATTATATTAAATTATATTAAATATCCTGTGTATGACGCGACATACCTTATTCTTTAGAACCCAGAGCTGAACATACATAATAATTATCGTCTCTGTTCAGTTGAGTCCGATCGCCCTGTTGATGGAGGCAGTAAGTATATCCGAAACGTCGGCGGAATACAACCAGCTTAAACCGCATCATTACATCAGAGAACAGAGCCGGCCAGTTAAGAGCCCGACAGTTAAAATTATCGTATTCAACGACGCAAAACAAGACAAATGCATAGCGTTAAGTACATCTGTACCCATGGGACTGCCTCCGAACTGTCGTCTAATTTGGTTCGTGATCTCCAAGCGAAGCCGCCGCTGAAATTCTACCCTTGGAGCCTGTTGGAAGTTGTTGCGTCCAATTAAATAGTAACCTGACGCGAGTCACAGAGAGCAGCGGACCCCCGGGTGACAACTCAGACGGGGCATATCGCTTCTCTAACATAATTAATAAATAAAACAAAGTCAACTCGGGACGTACTGAGACATAAATAATCCAGAATCTGCAATTCCACCTTACAAGTCAATTAGCAAGAAGTTTTCAAGCTTTTATTTAATTCAACCCCTTAAATTACAGTGGGAATAAAATAAAATAAATAAATAAATTTAAAAAAATATATAAAAAATATATAAAATAAAAAAAATTAGATATGAACCGCATAATTTAACAACCAGCAACTCCACCATTTTGTATTCATTTATTTCGTATGATTCTCACTGTAAACAGCGATTACTGTCTTAAACAGCGTTAACCACTTGATCTTCGTAATGGTGAAGTGTTGTGTTTTCATTCTCATGTAAATCTTCGTGGGTTCAACACCAAACACCAAAGTAAGCTACTGGACCTGGTCCTATCCTCACAACCTATCACCACAAGTTTCATTTTAATATTATCTTAAAAGATTTCAGGCTCTCTCGGCGGCAAGTACAAAGGTAACTCTCTCATGATATCATGCGTAGAAACGACGTTTCAGAAGCCTTGCTGCCTCAATCACTGGAGCGATGTATAATCGTCCTGATGATGGAGGCACTTAAGCTGTAATCTATTGTTTTATATTATTTGACACGTGGTTTTCAATTAGTTGAGGAATTCTATATCAATCTACTGCCTGAATAAATTCGTAATTATTCAATAATGTATTCATTTCGTTTTCATAAAATGTTCTGGCATGGCACCAAAGAATTATTGACGCATGCGCGTTCGTATATTTTTTTAATAACTACGAGTTCAAATATTACAGACTTCTCTGACGACAAGAAACTTTAACGCAACATCTGGAGTCTTTCAATAATTACGAGTGTCTCTTTATTAAAGAACCTTAATAATTTTAAGTGACTTTTTACAAGGGCGTCAATATTGGCGTCTCGTACTACGGAGAATATTGGCGTCTGAGTACGACGTTCTGAGAAAAATATTAAACTTAATCAACCGGAGAAAACTGCGTAATGAAGGGTTTTATAGCTAAAGAGGATGAAGTAGTTGGGTAGAACAGAGAACAAAACACTGACAAATGCATACAGACATGGATCAGAAAGCCGTAAAGAAAAGACAGCACCTAAAATCCATTTTGAGATGGATTTTAAGAAAATATGGAATGAGATAATGGCCTTTGGATTCATCTTGTATACGCGACAATAAAATATTGGATTCCATAAAAGACAGGAAACTTTCTGACTCGCTGAGCAACTATGAGCTACTCAAGAAACGCTGCTCCATGATTTTACTCAGTCACAAGTTATTTAATCAGTTTACAGCTTCAACGGCGGAGTTTGTAGCAGTGACGCGTGTTCGAAACTTAGGCGCCGTGTGATATAATGGGCAGGTGGTCCAGTCGATTCGGAAGGAAACCTCGCGGATTTAACCTAATGGCATGGCTCCACCAAAGACAATAAATAGATTCCTGCGATATATCTCGCTGAGGCTATTACAAGTGTTGAGAGATCCGAGCGACACGACCAAAGAAGGAAGTCGTCCGTATAATTCGACAGTACGAAAAACAAGAAACCTGAACTTTGGCCATAATTTTCACCAGAGACCTCACTTCAACGAGCAGAGCCCTTCTTAAGAAGCTAATAGTCGCTCAGTTAACCAAGAAATTCCTCGTCTCCTTTACATAAACTGAAATGTCATTACCGTGTTCACGGCGGCCCGCTACAGACTCCAATCCCAAGCCAGATAAATCCACTCCACAATCATTTTCAAGTCCGGTCATGATGTTAAGTACCAGGAAAAGGATATTTCTAGCAGCCAAGTTGGTATGACGCATGCAGACTTAATACAATATTCATTACAGTGTCCTGGGTTCAATTCTCGGTGGTGCTCAAATTTATAACTTGTGTTGGGCAAGGCCGTGGTCTAGGCAACACGGAGTTTTCCTCCGTGGCATCCCAACATTTACTCCATTCACACACAGAAGAAGGCAATGGCAAACCACTTCTGATCATCTCTGCCAAGAATGTATATATGTATGAGCAGGTCCCTGACAACCTGAAGAGGTTGGAAGGATCCTGTTCATAATATATGGACCTGTCGTCAGACAGAACACTACAAATAAAAAAAATAAAAAATACTGCATTTGGTCTTTTCTTGGTGTTATTATAAATTCCTTGTGGGATAGATAACTAATTGTAGACTAGAACTTCAAGATGTTGGTCCTCTGGGTTTTAAAGTCGTGCAGACTTGCAGGTATATATATCAACGTTTCGGAGAACACACTAACTCCTTCTTCAGGGCTGAAGTAGAAGCAAGACACCTATAAGACTACACAGTATAAAAACTTCTTAAAAGACCACAAACTGAAGAAAAACGCTCATGGAACTTTCGAATCGCGTAGCTGCTAAACAAAACAACAAGGAAACAGCGTAAAGGTTAGGATTATGGCCTGTTTCATTTGAACATCAGTGCTTTGTAGGAATATGCCGCCTCCGTCTTCAGGGTAGAGTAAGTTTATGTCACCGAATCCTACAAGTCAGCGCCGAGTAACAAGCCAGACCAACGTCTGAACTCACGTGAAAACCTCAAATCCCACGCGGAAAAGTAGACTCTTCAAATAGCATCAACACTCACAGGGGGGTAAAGACAGTGAGTGTGAGGTCTGGGGCTAGAGCCATAATTTAAAATCGATATGAGTGAGCATCACCAGACGGTGCATGTCTGTGGCATCCAAGTTTATGGGACAAACCGGTTGGTCGTAGTTTCACGCATGTAACAACAGTCATATTCGTGATTTACGACGACATCGTGTCCTGCAGCTCCTCTTCGGTGCCCTGAGCGCTTCTGGGAGGGGTGCGGCCAGAGGGGGTTCATTTTGCGTTATACTGTCAGTCTGAAACGTATCGATTCCCGCCCGCCCCCGCCCTCTTCGGAGAATGTCTCCGGACAAGGTAACAGTTATTACCGTTAACTAGATTTATGAGTTACGGACGCAATTAGAAAGGCAGATGGTGGCCGTGCTGATTCTGGCAAATGTTCCGCTGTAATTGGGGTTTTAAATTTCGCAATATTTCCTTAATAATTCACACTCCACCGTAGATAAAATTGCAATTCAGAAAAAGGAGGGCCTATGCACACAAAGACTATTTGTTATCCCAAAAAAACCTGGCTGAACATTTTGACATGGATATATCATTAACCAAAATACTACCAATGACTTTCAATTAGTTTGGGTTTGATTGTAAGACAAGTTTTGGATTTAAATCGCTTGCAAAGTGTCCTTCCATGAGAACGTGTGATGTTAATAATAAAATACTTCGCTATTAATAAAAACGTAGGACAATAAATATGATATAAAACACGAATAAAAAAGAGATGACGTTGAAATTTTATAACGCGATGGGAGTTACAGCTGTTTTATACATTCGTGAAAATGGGTTAGGAACAAAATTAATAGTAGAATTTAAACAGCAAAACTTAAGTGTTTAAGACACATCGGGAAATGCATAATCCAAGACAAAATTAAAAAACGGAAATGTATGACGGGAGGAAAATATGTATTTAGTAAATGCACAGCATAAAGCATAATTGTTTACAACGAAAGGAGCGAACTTACTTGAACGAACTGAGAAATAACAATTTTTTTATTAATTTGTAGGATTTGAGATTTTCACGGCGGTAAACCTCATCGCCCTGATGATGGAGGCAGAAAGG